TGTGCACGTGTATCAGATGATCCGTGCACAGCAGCTGATCTGTGCACAGCAGCTGATCCGTGCACAGCAGCTGATCCGTGCACAGCAGCTGATCCATGCACAGCAGCTGATCTGTGCACGTGTATCAGATGATCCGTGCACAGCAGCTGATCTGTGCACATGTATCAGATGATCCGTGCACAGCAGCTTATCCGTGCACATGTATCAGATGATCCGTGCACAGCAGCTGATCCGTGCACAGCAGCTGAGCCGTGCACATGTATGAGTTGATCTGTGCACAGCAGCTGATCTGTGCACATGTATCAGATGATCCGTGCACAGCAGCTTATCCGTGCACATGTATCAGATGATCCGTGCACAGCAGCTGATCCGTGCACAGCAGCTGAGCCGTGCACATGTATGAGTTGATCTGTGCACAGCAGCTGATCCGTGCACATGTATCAGATGATCCGTGCACAGCAGCTGATCCGTGCACATGTATCAGATGATCCGTGCACAGCAGCTGAGCCGTGCACAGCAGCTCAGCCGTGCACATGTATGAGTTGATCTGTGCACAGCAGCTTATCCGTGCACGTGTATCTGATCATTGGTACTGCAGACTCCTCCTGCTTGTACAGACTGAAATGATGCGTTTGTGGACCCCGTGGTGCGTTCATGTGAACACTGTAAAGTGCGTGGGTTGAGTCAAGTCTTTAGAGTTTTTATTTTATGAGTCACAAATAAATAAATAAAAGAACGAATGATAAATAAACAAATAAATGAACAAATAAATAAATGAATAAATAAATAAACAAATGAATGAATGTTGTGAACGTTTGTGTAAAGTGAACCGGACCTTTTTCTGTGTCTGAGCTCAAAACTCAAACAGCAGGAAGAAACCTGACCCGACGGGTCACCACAAGTGTTTAACAGAACCAGAACCTTCTCACCATGCAGTCCAGAGCCAGAACCACAGGGTCCCTCCTGGACCCGTCACGACCCGTTGGACCTCACAGGAACACACCCTGTGTGTGTCTGAACCCAGCAGCAGCTGGTTCTGACTCGGCCTGGATGTTTGGGTCCGTCTCAGATGGTTCTGATCTCAGTCTCTCTCTCACAGCAGCTGCTCATACAGATGCTTGGTACTGATCCGGTCTCCTTCAGGTTCGGTTCTGGAGGATCATAGGTGGTCTCCTCAGATCACAGACCCGGTCCAGAGCCAGGCTGTAATGTGAAAGCTGCAGACAGAACCAGAACCACTCGGACTCTGGGCCCATCCTGTTAGAAAACAGAAGAAAGAACTTTGTTCTGATCCGATCTGAGAGCAGACCAGACAGAATCCTCTGTGGTCATAAACTGTCAACAACAAACGTTTGTTTGTTTTTCTGTAAACACTAAAACCAGGCTCTGTTGTGTTTGGGTCCAGTTGTGCTGATCAGAACCAGCACAGCCCGGTTCATAAAATCTGCTTTGATGTTACCGAGTCTCTCTTTGTCTTTCAGGTCCTGTTTTGGAGAACACGAGGTAAGAACTGGGTTCTTTCTGTTCTGCTCCGCCTTCCATCAGAACCAGCACAAACAGAACCAGCACAATCAGAACCAGCACAATCAGAACCAGCACAAACAGAACCAGCACAAACAGAACCAGCACAATCAGAACCAGCACAAACAGAACCAGCACAATCAGAACCAGCACAAACAGAACCAGCACAAACAGAACCAGCTCCTTGAACAGAACTCCTCGTTTCTGTGTCAGTTATAACTTCCTCTGTCCTCAGTCTCCCTGAGCTCAGTTTGACCTTTGACCTCCTGTGTCTGTCCATCAGCTCTGTCCTCCTGTCCTGTCCCTCCTGTCCTGTCCCTCCTGTCCATCTTCAACGGTCTCTGTGCGTTCCTGCAGGTCAGCCCGGTGCCGTGTCATCGTCAGGGTCGGTTCTCCTGTGGACGGGCCTGTGGACGTCCTCTGGTCTGTGGGAACCACAGCTGCAGCCTGGAGTGTCACCTGGTTACCAACGGCAACAAGGTCAGCCCCCCCCCCCCCTACAGGTGCTCATTGTACCTGAGTGACGTCGTGATGACCCGACTGTTTCTCTGCAGTGTGAGGTGTGTGAGGAGAGCTGCAGTAAGCCCCGCCCACCAGGCTGTCCACACCCCTGTCCCCGCCCCTGTCACCCTGGAGACTGCCCCCCCTGCTGTCACATGATCCGCCAGCGCTGCCACTGCAGGATCAGCATGCTCTACGTGGAGTGCACGTCAGTCACGCACACACACATTTTATTAGCTGTTTCCATGGTAACGTCACGCCGAGCTTCATTAGCAGCGTCAGGTCTGATGACGCCTCTGATTGGTTGATTAATTTTCTCTGCAGGAAGTTATCATCAGCTGATGAGCAGACGAAGGTACAGCTGAGCACCTGCAACAACCAGTGTCCTAAAGAGGTACGCACCAACACACACCAGTTCCTGATTGGCTCTTCTGGAGATCCAAGCTCCTTATTGGCTGTTCTAGAGATCCAAGCTCCTGATTGGTTGTTATGGAGATCCAAGCTCCTGATTGGCTGTTCTGGAGATCCAAGCTCCTGATTGGCTGTTCTGGAGATCCAAGCTCCTGATTGGCTGTTCTGGAGATCCAAGCTCCTGATTGGTTCACCTGAGGCTGTAAACTCTGTCGGTCTGAACTCTGGTGAATTTTAAGAGTTTTTACCGTCAGAATGATTTTTCTTCTGAGGAACTTTCTCAGTTGAAACTAATGAAAGTGGATGTCCAAGCTCTGGGACCAGCAGAGGTTTCTTGTGTCCCCATCATGAAGCTAAGAGGGGAACTGGAAAGACTTTTTGTCCCTCTGACCAACCTCCAGTTTGGTGTTGCTGCAGAACAGTCACCATCCAAAATAAAAGTTGTAACGTCAAAATACAAGATGGCTGCCACCAGAGTCCTCCAGGACAGAGTCTGAGTCCTCCAGGACAGTGTGATCAGAGCCTGTCTCAGAGACAGACAGCAGGTCTCTAGAGGAACCAGGCTCTGGTCTGTGGGTGAAACCTGTTTGTTGTCTCTGCAGCTGAGCTGCGGCCATCGCTGTAAACAGGTGTGTCATCCAGGTGTGTGTGAGGAGAGCTGCCAGCAGAAGGTGAAGCTCCGCTGTCCCTGCAAGAGGATCAGGAAGGTAAGACCTGTCCCTGCTGCAGAAGACAGAGACCCAGAACCTGCTGAGTCCCTGGTTGTCATGGTGGTTCCTGCCTCTGTAGGGAGCAGAAAGGGGAGGGGCCTCTCTTCAGACACAGACTGACATCATCAGACTGTGATAAAATCTGTAAACTCCTCCATGTTCAGCTGTGATTGTTTAAAATGTGTTAAAGTTCTGGAAACGTTTCAGTCCAACTTCCTGTGATCCGTTTAAACTGACGGATGGTTCTGAAGGTCCAGACAGGCCCAGGTTGAACAGTCCAGTGATGTCAGAGTTTGAATGTGTGACGTGTCATCCTGCAGCCTCCTAACTCTTTCTGAGCACACCTGTTCACAAGTTCAGTGTGTCAATCAATTTCAATTCAGTTTATTTCTTCAGCTCCAAGTCTCAACAGAATCATCTCAGGGACTGAACAGAAACATTCAAATATTAAAATAATAATTGAACAGAAACATTCATCTATTTAAATAATAATTTAACAGAAACATTCAAATATAAAATAACAATTTAACAGAAACATTCATGTATAAAATAATAATTGAACAGAAACATTCATCTATAAAATAATAATTTAACAGAAACATTCATGTATAAAATAATAATTTAACAGAAACATTCATCTATAAAATAATAATTGAACATTATTTATGTGAGGAGCAGCTTTGAGTTTAACTCCATCACAGAACTCTCATCTTGAACAAGCATGAAGGCGACAGTGGAAAGAAAAACTCCCTCATGAGGAAGAAACCTTTAGCAGAACCAGGATCAGGACAAGAGGACCATCTGCTTCCACCGGCTGGGTTTGGTAGGAACAGATACACAATGGCAGGTCAAGGATCACATGTTAAGATAGAAATGGTATCAAATGAAAACTATTCAGTTTTAACAATTCATTTAAGGACATGAGGTCAATTTGTCTTCTAGTAGTCTAAGTCTATAGCAGCATAACAAGCCAACCCTAACTATAGGATTTATCAAAAAGGAAAGTCTTAAACTGGACAATGTGTCAGCCTCATGGACAGAAACTGGAAGTTGGTTCCACAAGAGAGGAGCCTGAGAACTGAAAGATCTTCCTCCCATTCTGCTGCTGGAAACTCTAGGAACCACAAGTAAACCTGCAGTCTGAGAGAGAAGTGCTCTGTTAGGAAAATATGGAACAATAAGATCTGTAATATAAGATGGAGCTAGGTTGTTGAGAGCTTTGTAGGTTAGAAGTAAGATTTTGAATTCTATTCTGGATTTGACAGGGAGCCAATGGAGAGAAGCTAAAACTGGAGAGATATGATCTCTCCCAGTAACTCCAGTTAAGACTCTGGCAGCAGCATTTTGGATCAACTGAAGACGTTTTAAAGAAGTATTTGGACACCCAGATAATAAACCATTGCAATAGTCCAGTCTAGACGTGACAAATGCATGGACCAGTTTTTCTGCATCATCTTTAAATTCAAGATTAAATTAATTTCAAATTTACTTCCCCCTGAGGCACAGAGGCACACGCTCTACTCAGCCTCTTCTTGACTGCCTGGCTGACATCCGGGACTGGATGGCTTTAAACTTCTTAAGCTTCAATGAGAAGAAGTCTGAAGTCATGCTGTTCCATCCCAGTGGCTCACTCATGAACCATGACATTGACCTTTTCTCTCTAGCCCCGCTAGAGAAACAAAAGGTGACTAATCTGGGGGTGATAATGGACCCGTCCTTAAAACTCAACAGTCACGTAAACATGATGGTCAAATCCTGTTTTTTTCAGCTGAGACGGCTGTCTAAGCTGAAGCCTATACTCTCCAAAAAGAACCTTGAGACAGTGATCCACGCCTTCATAACATCTAGGCTTGATTACTGCAATTCACTTCTGTTTGGAATCAGTCAGTCCTCCATTGCTCGTCTACAACTGGTCCAAAATGCTGCAGCCCGATTTTTAACTGGTACAGGCTATAGAGAGCACATCACGCCAGTTTTGGCCTCCCTGCACTGGCTACCCATTCACCTTCGGATCCAATTCAAAATTCTCATGTATGTTTTTAAATCACTGAACAGTTCCGCCCCATCCTATCTCACTGATCTTCTGCAGCCATATGTCCCACCGCGCTCTCTGAGGTCAGCAGACCAGATGCTTCTCTCAGTCCCAGAAACCCGTCGTAAGCTCAGAGGTGACAGGGCTTTCTCTGTCGCAGGTCCACGACTGTGGAATGAGTTGCCACTGAGTGTCCGGCAGGCTCCCACACTCTCAGTCTTTAAGTCTCGCTTGAAGACCCACTTCTATTCGCTTGCTTTTAACACGTTGTGATTTGTTTTGGTCCGGTCTGTTCTCTACTCTGTTGGCCATTTTAGTTAGCTTCTGCTGCTATTTGTATCTGTATTTCTATTTTATGTTTTCCTGTCTGCTGTGCATGTTTGGTTCTTTTGTACAGCACTTTGGTTGGCCTTGTTGCTGTTTTAAGTGCTATATAAATAAATTGGTATGGTATGGTATCTTTAGATCAGATGTTTCTAATGTTAGTGATATTACGCAGGTGGAAGAAGGAGGTTCTAGTAACGTTTTTAATGTGGGGGATAAAAGACATGTCCTGATCAAAAATAACACCAAGATTTTTAACATTAGAGCTGGAGGACAGATTAATGCATCTAAGGAGGGAGAAAGACTGAAACATTCATTCCTAAGGTGCTCAGGTCCAAAAACCAGCCAGTGCTGAGGGTTATGGTGGAGAAGAAGTTGTGGATCCTCACTGACTGATTGGATTCATTGGGTTTAATGGACAAATATAATTGTGTATCATCAGCATAACAATGAACATTTATCCCATGCTGTTTAATAACTTTACCTAATGGAAGCATATATAAGATAAAGAGTATTTGTCCAAGCACTGAACCCTGAGGATCTCCATGACTAACGTTGGTGTATGATGATTTATTATTTACATTTACAAACTGGAATCTATCAGATAGATATGATTTAAATTAATTTAGAGCTGTTCCTGTAATCCCAACATCATATTCAAGCCTCTGTAGTAAAATATTGAGATCAACTGGATCAAATGCAGCACTGAGGTCTAACAGGACCAGTAGAGACACAAGTCCATTGTCTGAGGCCATGAGAATATCATTAGTGACTTTTACTAGTGCTGTTTCTGTGCTATGATGAGCTCTAAACCCTGACTGAAACTCTTCCAACAGATTATTTCTTTGTAGATGTTCACACAACTGACCTGCAACTATTTTCTCTAGAATTTTTGAGATGAACGTTAGATTAGATATAGATCTATAGTTGGTCAGGATTTCTGAATCAAGATCAGACTTCTTAAGTAAAGGTTTAGTTACAACAATCTTAAAGCTCTGTGGTACGTAACCATTTATTTGAAACAAATTAAGCAGATCCAAGACGTGGTTATTAATTAAGGGAAGTACCTCTTTAAACAGTCTGGTTGGAATGGGATCTAGCAGGCATGTGGATGGTTTGGATGAAGATATTATTTGTGACAATTCAGAGCTCAACAGGACAAAAACTGTCCAAACATAAATCAGGTTCTAGTGAAATTTTTAAAGTTGTCTCATCTGGCACAGAACCAGAGGCGATAGTAGGAAGGATGGTTTGAATTGTTTTCCCTAATTTAAATAATTGTATTTATAAAGAATCTCATGAAGTCATCTCTGATTATAGTTGTAGAGACACATGAATCAACAGAGAGGATTTCTCATTAAACTAGCTATGGTGCTGAAAAGGAACCTGGGTTATTTTTATTCTCATCAATTAAAGATGAAAAATATAAAGTTCTAGTTTTACCTTTTCTACGTGAGCAGATTATCTCTCCAGGATAAGTGATTCCTCAACATCAGTGGAGCGCCATTTTCTTTCCAGCTTTTATAAATGTCTGTTTTAACGTACGTAACTCAGAATTGAACCAAGGAGCCAGTTGATCACACTGCCTGTGTGCGTGCGTGCGTGCGTGCGTGCGTGCGTGTGCGTGTAGGAGGTGGTGTGTTCTTTGCAGGCTCAGTGTGATCTTCAGTGCGACGATGTCTGCAGAGACCAGCAGAAGAAAGTCAGCCAGGTAAACACACACCTGTACACTATCATCCACACCTGAACACACACACTCTGACTGATCTGTATGTCCAGGTGAAGGAGGCGGAGCTAAGAGCAGCTGAGGAAGAGGAGCAGAGGAAGCTTCAGGTCAGTCTGATGATAAAACTTTCCTGTTCTGACCTACCAAAGCTGTCGGACACCTGCCGACAGGTGAGGTCAGTCCAGGTGTCAGGCTGACAGGTGTGTGCAGAAGTCCTGATGCAGTCAGTCCTCCAGGTCCTGCAGGTTTTCTTCTGTTTGTGTTCAGGAGGAGCTGGAGGCCTTCGAGAAGCGTCAGCAGAGAGGAGGGCGCAGGAACAAGAGGAAGAGGAGGGAGGAGGTGGACGACGAGCAGGCCAGGGTGAGGAGGTGGTGGAGGAGGTGCGCCGCCTTGGTCCTCGTCCCTCTGGGCGGAGTCCTGCTGTCCGCCGCCGCCTACTTCCTGCTGACCTCCACCTGAAGGAGGCGTGGCCTCCTCCACTGCTCCTGCTTTCTGCTTTTAGGCTAGAACCGATCCAGATGTTTCCAGATGAGAAGAGTGTCAGGTTGAGTTTAAATAATCCAACATCAGCTGTTCCTAACAGCTCCCACGAGACAGGAACCAGAACCGCCTGGACCGTCTGGACCATCTGGATCTACAGCAGCAGGTCGGCTTCAACGAGTCCTTTGATGTTTGAGTCAAACAGGAAGTGATGCTTGGTCTCAAAATGAGTTTGTTTTTGGTTCATCAATAATCTGAGATGAATAATCTGAGATGAATAATTTGAGATGAATTTGTTCTTTTTCTTTTTGAAATCTTAGAAAATAAAACATTGAACCTCATCGTGTTGAATTTCTGTTTTAATTTGAAGTTTTAACTGTCAGAACCTTCAGAATAAAAGTTTTCCTCCAGCGAGTTCTTTGACTTTTAAATATTAAACACTAAAGTCCAGAAAAAGTTCTGGTTCTGACCCAGCTGGAGTCCAGAGGAAAGAGGATTTACTGACGGTCAGAACAAACTTCTTCCTGCCTGAGACAAGAAGAAGAAACTAAGACTGGAGTCCAAACGTCTCCTGGGGGGCTGAGGTCCTGGTTCTGACCCGGTTCAGGATGAACTTTGACCTCAGAAACAGTTTGATCTGAATCCTGAGGGCCATATGAGTCCACTGCAGAGTCCAGAGTACTGTCCCTGGTCTGGACCGGACCCCCATCAGGAGGCAGACTGCCTGATGGGGGTCTGGTCTCTGGGGTCCTCAGTAATGTCAGGGGTGGCTGAGACCCCAGACCACCTCAGAGTCTGGGTTCTGGATTGAGCCAACCTATGGGACAATGGTCCAACTTCTGAGTCCAACAGAACCAGGACAAGTCCAAAAAGACAAACATGAGGCAACATGGTCCTGAGAACAGAACTAACTGGAGACCCACAGGGTCCAGGAATCCTGTTCAGCCTACATTCAGATGTTCAACTGACCGAGGTCCAGACCTGGGCCTAGATCTGGGTCTAGGTTTCAGTTCAGACCCTTACCTCGAACTGAACTCAGGGCTGGACTGAACTCAGTCTGAGTCCAGTCCAGCCCTGAGTTCAGGTCTGAAATAAAACCTGAATCTAAATCAGAACCCAGACCTGATTACAACCCAAGTCTAGACCCGAGTCCAGACCTGGCTGAATCTAAATCTAGAATTGGCTCCAGTTCAGACCTGAGCTACAGACCTGAATCTACCCAGTCCAGACTCCAGACTTTGGTCTACATTTAGATCTGTGTCCAGTCCAGAACCCACGTAGACCTTGAATAAAATGTTTTTATTAAACTCTTTATTAAAGAGACCCCTGAAGAGTCTCACCCAGACCCTGAACCAGACTCAGTTTGTCTCTTTCTGTCCACATTAAACCTTTTCGTCCCCTCAGACCTCAGCCGGTCTCAGGTTTTGGGGTCACGTGACTGACAGAGACGTGAGGCTCCGCCCACACACCTTAAATCTCATGTTGGACCTCATCACGTGCGGATAACCTGAGTGTGTGTGTGAGGGGGCGGAGTCTGTGCCTGTGCGTGTCTCAGGGGGCGGAGCCTGAGCAGTAGTCGGTCCTGGTCCAGCTCGTGTCCCTCAGATGAAGATCCGGCTCAGCGGCTGCTGCAGCTCATGTTGTCCGCTCGGAGGGAGACCTTCCCGGGCGTCACCTTCAGCGGAGCCTCGGTGAGTCTGTGTGTCCTCCATGTGTCCCTTTGTCCTCTGTGTCTCCTCTGTGTCCCTTTATCCTATGTGTGTATCTGTGTCCCTCTGTGTCTCTGAGTCTCTGTGTCTCTGTGTCCCTCTGTGTCTCTGAGTCTCTGTGTCCCTCTGTGTCTCTGAGTCTCTGTGTCCCTCTGTGTCTCTGAGTCTCTGTGTCCCTCTGTGTCTCTGAGTCTCTGTGTCCCTCCGAGACAGAGTCCGCAGCTAAAGCTCCTCCAAACCTTCAGCTGTTTCTTCTTCATCTTGAAGTTCATTAACTTTGATACATTCATGTTTTATTATTTATTAGTTCATAAATGTTTTTATTTCTCTTGTTTTCAATAATCCAGTCATCATTTTGTTTATTTACAAACTAATTAAAGTGTTTGTTGTTTTGGTCAATAATTAAATTATAAATGTTTCTGAGTGATTCTGACAGTTTAATGTTTGGGCTCAGTTTGAGTCATTTTTCCTTCAGACTGAAATATTCCAGAACCAGAACATTCAGAACCTCGTGTTCAACTTCTGTCAGACAATAAAACATGTAAACAAACTAAAATTGTTTAAAGTTGTTCTTGTGCCTTCAGAAGAAAACAACAACAACAACAACAACATGTGAACAAACAGGAAACATCACAACAAATGTAAACTTTAACGACTGATCTACAGTTTATTTACAAACAGTTTATTCACAAACAGTTTATTCACAAACAGTTTATTTACAAACAGTTTATTCACAAACAGTTTATTTACAAACAGTTTATTCACAAACAGTTTATTTACAAACTGTTTATTCACAAACAGTTTATTTACAAACTGTTTATTTACAAACAGTTTATTCACAAACAGTTTATTTACAAACTGTTTATTCACAAACAGTTTATTTACAAACTGTTTATTTACAAACTGTTTATTCACAAACAGTTTATTTACAAACTGTTTATTCACAAACAGTTTATTTACAAACAGTTTATTCACAAACAGTTTATTTACAAACTGTTTATTCACAAACAGTTTATTTACAAACAGTTTGTTCACAAACAGTTTATTTACAAACAGTTTATTTACAAACAGTTTATTTACAAACAGTTTATTCACAAACAGTTTATTTACAAACAGTTTATTTACTAACTGTTTGTTTACAAACAGTTTATTTACAAACAGTTTATTTACAAACAGTTTATTTACAAACAGTTTATTTACAAACAGTTTATTCACAAACAGTTTATTTAC